AGAACTGTCCACGTGGTGCTCATCGCTGTGGAGTCGTGCTGCAATCGGGACGGGTCTGCGGGTCGTTCCAGCACACCCCTTCTGGATGTCCCAAGGCCGCTTGAAAAGAGGGCCGCTCCTCTGTTGGGGGGGGGCGAGGCCAATCTTTGGACACTCCTGTCTTTCACGATTTTCGTTCCTTTTTGGATGAGTTGGAGTCCATTGATATGCACACGACTGAAGCCTCACCATGCCCCGTCCTTCTGGACATTTTCAGTGGCGTTCATGCTCCGTTGTCCAAGGCCTTCCTATGGTGCCAATGGGAGATCATCACACCGATTGACATTGAGATCGACCAGGACCTGGACGTGTCGCGTCCGGCGGTCCGTCGCGCCATTCAAGCTGTGCTCCCTCGAGTGGCCACTATTGCGGGGGCTATGAGTTGCGCTACCAAATCACCAGCTAGGGAGAAGCGGCCCGGCCCCCCTCCCTTACGATCCGAGGAACACTCAAGGGGTCTACCCGGACTGGACGCGGGACAACAGGCCCGGGTCGATGCTGATAACTACTCCAGTGACTATCTCTTGGCCCTGCAGCACTGGGGGCACCAACAGAACATCGCATGTCTTCGCGAGAACCCGCTCAGGTCGTTACACTGGTGGGACCCAGTTGAGCAGTTCATGTGCCAGGAGGATGGCTGGCAGGATCTGGACTACGACGCTTGCGTCTTTGGGGGCGCCCGGCGCAAAGCTCAGAAGTTTCGCCACAACATCCCTGAGCTTGCCTCCCTTCCGGTTGTTCGGTGCGGGCATATTCATGACCCCAATGAGTGGCGCTCATCGGGTAATGGTCAGTTCTCCACCTTCAACGAGGCGGAATATACACCGAGTTTGGTATTCACCCTAGCGGTATGTTGCACGGCATGGGCTGCGCGACAAGGCTATGGTATCCTGGCTATCCCACGACTGCCACCCATCACTACTTCAGGGGACATACGACCTCTGCTCCATTTCGAACCGTCTGAGTTGCGAGAAGATCTGATGAATGTCATGGGTTTTCACTTGGGCCTCACCCCACCGCGGGAGGACGCGTCCCACGTGCCCACTCGCCAAGTCGCAGCTGATGTTTTGCAGCTGAGGTCACACCTGACCGACATGGATGTGTACATTGGCCCCGGGCACTTCTCTCACCGATGGCCGTTGACACAATGGCAAAACCCTTCCGGACCGGCGAAGGCAAGACTGCTCTAGAGAGTGTTCTCCACTATGCCAGATGGATCGCTGACCAGGACCACCTCTTGGCTGACCTGTCGTCCTTGCATGGGAAAACCCTGGTGTGTGATTGCCCTCACAACGTACTTTGTCATGGAGATATTCTTCGAGCCTTAGTTTGGACAACCTCACGCACTACCTCTTCCTCGGGCCACTCCTATTCCAACAAGGAACAGTTGCGACGAGTCTTGCTTATTGCTGCCGGCATCCACCCCGCCAGGGCGCTCCCCTTGCGATTTTCTCAGGAAATTGTGGTGGCCAGCCTCATGGCCCTATGCCCGGATGTCACCTGGGACGGATTCCAGTGGCCTATGATCGAAGATCTGCTCGTGGATGACTCACACTACCAATGGCTCAACTATATGCAAAACCGCCCGGACTGGGACGGACATGCCTTCGGACCACGGTTGGTGGGCCCCTTGGAGCGCAACGCTATTGCGATGAGCGGCCTTCAACAGCCCGGAGCGGCTGCCGTGGCCAAAGCTTTACCACCTATGATTCCCTTCGGTGTAGGGGAAGAGCGACACTTTGAACTCGCCCTCGAGCTGCAGCAAAGACCCACCCCTTTTGAAACCATGGGTGTTGTTGACGACGACCTGATCTTTGCCGCAGCTGGGTATGCAGCCCAAGGAGTGGGCCTCCGTGAGGTGCGACGACGTACAGGCCGCTGGCTCCAGGAGTTGAGCCGTCGAATGTGGCCTGTCACCTACCACCTCCAGACTTACCAGCCACCTCCTGTCCGATCAGCCACCCAGGGTCGCCACATCGCATTGATTGGGCTTCTCATGTTGATTACTGGATGGCCAGACACCACACTTGTGGCTAACCTGATCCACGGATTCCCTGCTGTGGGTTTTTCCCCACACGTGTCAGTCTACAAGGCTCAGCCAGCCCACTACATCACGGACGCCTCCATCTACCAGGACGCTTTGCCCGAAGCTGCCCGAATCATTCAAAGCCTTCGGCCAGGGGAACACGACACGGCTATTGTCCAGGCGGGTGAAGAGGACCAAGCCAAGGGCTTTTGTGGGCCCCCTTTGACCTGGGCCCAACTGTGCCAGGAACTCCCCCAATTCAGACTGATCAGGAGGTTTTGTATCCAGCAACCGTCCGGGAAGTTGCGTGTCATTGATGACGCCGCAGACGGAGGTCAAAGTGCCCTCAGCTCAGATGCGAACAAGTTGGATCTATGTACAAGCATTCAACCTGGCCTACATGTTCAACTGTTATGGCAGGCAGCGTCCTCTTCGGCTCAATCATCTGAGTTGCTTCAAGCTGGACTTTGGTCCGGGGGTGAGGATTTGCCCAACGCCTACCGCTATGTTCCCATGAAACCAACACATAGCAACATGGCCGTGGTAGCCTACTACGACCATCACGCTGGTGGCCCCCGTTTCCGGCGATACTATGGTTCTCTGTTCGGGTTGCCCAATGCTGTTTGTTCGTTCAACCGATTTCCCCGATTCTTTCAAGCTGCCTGCCGCCGCCTGGCCTGCTGCATGACAAGCATGTATTTTGATGACTTGACAATCCAGGATTTCGGTATTATGGGTGGCACTGGCCAGGCCTTCGTCAATGAACTTGCGCGATGCCTTGGATCACCTTTCCAAACTGAGAAACACCAGCCCTTGGCAGCTCAATCTGATTTTCTGGGGCTGATCCATGACGTGACAGCCTGTCACCAAGGTGCCCCTGTCAAGTTCTGGGTACGCGACCGTTTGCTCACCAAGGTCACCGACATTATGGACGAAGCCATTCAGACACGGCGCCTCCCTCCAGGACTGGCGGCCAAGCTCTTTGGCTGCCTCGGATTCTTGACAACAGGATGCTTCGGCAAGCTTGGCCGGTCGGGCCTCCACAGCATCAAGGAAAGGCAGTACTCCTCACAAGTCGTGATGACACCGGAGATTGCGCAATCCTTCGACCGAATTCGAGCACTCCTTCAGTTGAAGCCTGAACGAGAATTACCACTCAACCCCGTGCGACAACACCGCTACTTGGCTGCATCCGATGCGGCACAAGAGAAGCCTCGCGAGGGTTCTGCAGGAGTCTTGTTCATCGACCCCCATGGTATACGACGGGCTTATGTTGTCCACATCAGCCCTGAGATCTTCAAGGTATGGTCCCACCATGAGGCCAAGATTGCACAGCTTGAGCTCTTGACAGTCTACATGGGCCTCGCATACAATGCTTCGTCTGTTCGTGACATGCATGGTATCTGGTTTGTGGACAATATTGCAGCACTCATGGCCCTCATTCGAGGCCGTAGCAATAATGCTGAGCTGGATTCCATGGCTGGAGCTATCCATGGTCTTTTGTTTGCGCTCCGTAGTGCTTGCTACTTCGAATGGGTCCAAAGTAAGGACAACTGGTCAGATGGCATCAGCAGACAGGGCGAACATGATCCGTGGTTCCAACGACATGACTTCCGTCTTTTCCACACCTACCCCCTGCTCTTGCTCCTCCAGCTGCCCTACCACATCATTGCTCAGGTCTTTCAGTTCGTTTGAGTGCTTTGGATATGTTAGTGCCTTGGATGGAGTGCTCCCACAGGGAGAGTGTCAGATGTCAGATGACACAA